ATAGTTGTCCCCCCAAAGCCTCATGCAGTCTTGGGGTAGCTTCTGGAGTTTGTGATTGATTACTGTGAATGTGAATGCTGCACCTGCTCAGGGTAAGTAATTTGCATTACAATGTAAGGTGGGAAGAAAAGCTAGCTGTTTGAGCTGTTGCTACCTCTCCCTTGCCCTCTTGCTCTGCCATGAAAGGTTGCTTTCTGCTATGTGCTGCTCTGCCCTGGAGCCAGCTGAATACTGTACTGAAACCTCCAGTAACTGTGAGCTAAGCAAGCCTTTCCTTCCTTCATGTTGGTTGTCCGGTGTTTGTCCCAGCCATGAGAAAAGAGTAACTAAGACAACCACCATACCTGGTTTTAGTGGCAAGCACAGTGCTCCCAGGGTTCCAGGGCTGGTACAGCATGCAGTACTGGGGATCGAACCTGGGTCCTTGCACTCGCCAGGTAGATACTTAGACTGCTGAGCCGTCTCCCAGCCCTTATCCTTAGTCTTGTTACCACTGTTTTGTGATTTTTTTGCATCTGTTGTTGGTGTTCTAGAAGACTTACTAGTCTCTTCACATGATTTTGAAATAGTCTCTCACTTTATTCCTATCCTGAGCTGTCGATTCACTGCAGCCCCTTGCTGGTATCACCATCCTGTCTCCTACACAGTGTACAGCAAAGCCTTCACCTCTCTCAAGTCTATTTCTCCTCCTAAATTAACTATCTCAGGCAAGTCAGAAAATTTTGAATACAGTCTTTACCTGGTAACTATTAAATAAGCTTCCATTTGGCCAGAATCTCCATGGTCCTCTCTTTTCATGGCCATTCACATAATCCCACCAAGGCCCCTGTATGCAGTGTTTATCATTACCATGGCTGGCTCCACCATACCATGTAAAAGCACTACTTAAAAATATTCATCAGCTCCTGACCTCAGAATAATCCCATACCACACAGCTAGAGGGTGCACATCCTCGGGGGTCAGATGCATGTCTGCCCGCCTTTCCTGCCATTCTCCCCTCCCAGTACACTGGCCTAAAACACATTTTCTAGCTGCATGAGACTCCACGCTATTTCCTGAGAAGGTCACCATGGATAGCCCCACTATTATGCCTGAGCATCATCATTTCCTCAGAAAAGAAATGGAGCCCAAGTACAACACAAGCACAGCAGGAACAAAGGCTTATAGTTATTCTGTGCTGCAAACAGGTACTAATAGGTCTATTTTAAAATCTTGTCCCTGTCAAGGCTTTGTCTCTGACCCAGTTCCACTCATTCTACAATGTGCAGCACCAATGCTGCTGCCCCCGTGAAGCACTCACACATACTCCAGCTACAACTGGTCGTCTCTGCCTCCAGGACCCCACAGCACTTATCTGTATTCCTAACTCCTGCCTGTTTTGTAGCTCTTTATTTTAACACTAAAAGCTGGGTCATTAGAAGCCCACACTCCTTGAAACACTCTCCTATATATATATTAACTATTAAAAGTGCAGGGGGAAAAACATCTTGTAATGTGGAACATTATAAACTAAACAGATCAATGGAATTAAGATACAGGCGGTGGGGCTGGGAAGAGGACTCAGTGGAATAAGTGATTCCCTGGAAAGCGCAAGGGCCTGAATTCAATCCCTGTTTCCAAAAAAAAAAAAAAAAAAAAAAAAAAAAAAAAGATACAGGTGGAGAGATAAGGAAGTAACTCAGTAGATTAAGATACAAGTAATTTTAAAATATCTACATTAAATAAATAATTAAAGTAATTAAACAATTACCATGGTGGATAATTCCATTTTCTAATAATGCTTGTCCCAAGTGAACACCTTCCTCAGGCCTCTGAATTTCTCCAATTTCCAAAAGCCACGACACAAATTCACTACAACAGAAAACCAATGAAAACATTAAATCTTACCTTGCTGCTCTCTCACCCCAAAAGAATACGTGTGCCATGCAGTCCGGAAGGAACTATGGAGCAAGTCTCAAAACATAAAGGAATATTTACAATGTATTTCAGTGGCTCGTTTATTATTTTTATTGGGTGCACAGTTTATAGAAGTTGGGATCTATTCTAGAAAACCCATGTTTCTACATTAAGACCTTCCTAAACTACATTTAATATGCTACTTGACTTGCTGAAGCCCCTAATACACACAAAATGAAAATTTCATTGTCACTTTAGTTACAAAGGCACTCTACATATAAAGGCAAATGGTCATACAACATCATTTAGAGAACACTAAACAGAGAATTTACAAATAAAATATGATATGTTTATGTTTTTAAAATCTAACATTTGTACTTTTACATAAACTGATGAATTTGTCTTAGATTGGTTTTCTTTTCTGCACAGAGCTCAGAGAATCAAGGTTATATAAAGCACCAGAAAATTAGATTTCTACTTCCTTCAAAACCAAAGATAAGACAAATGCCTAAAGTCAAATAAACAAGGGACATGACATTCTAAAACTGGATTGTCTCATCTAAGAAATACATCTTGTCACGGGTGCTGGTACATGCACCTAATTTCAGCATTCTGGAACCAGAGGCCAACCTGTGCCAACAGCAGTTGAAGGCCAGCCTGAGCTACCCATCAAGACCCTGTCTCAAAAACAAAGAAAAAATTCTAAAGCATGAGATATCTTAGTGCACTAAATGCCTGCCTAGGCAAGCAAAGGGACATGGATTTGATCCCCCCTCCCCCAACACTTCATGTGCCACACTGGCCCCTCCCCTGGTGTGCTGAGCCAGCCACCAAGACTGTGCATGATGGCACACACCTGTAATCCCAGCGCTGGGGAGGCTGAGACAGGAGTATCACTACAAGGTTGAGCTGCATAGTAAGACCCTGTACCAAGTACATTAAAAAAAACTTTAAAGCATGAAAGATTGGTAAAAGAGATTTATTCTTCTATTAAATAAGAATCATTCAAAAGAAAATGAAAGAATGAAGGGAAGTACAAGAGATGAAAGAAGTAAAGAAAACAATAAAGCACATGCATATTAAGGAAATGGGCTACTTTGCTGATTTGAATCCAGATTCAAATCCTGATTCTTCTTCTACTGTGTACGTCCCTCTCAACCTTAATTTTTCTATCAATAAAACAGAGATAATACCAGTGTCATAGTGCTGTCAAAGGATTAAATGAGATGATATATGCCAGGAACTCAACATAGTAACTTCTCTTATAGTGAGCTCTTAATAGATCTCAGCAGTTGACAATTAGTTTGAGATTGCTGATATACAGCTAATCCATACTTTCCCATTTTGATGCTACCATATTTCTAAGAATGTCAAATTCTGATGAGAAAATCTATTTAAATATTACTACAAATTGAGAATTTTTTTAAAATGGGAGAGAGAGAAGGTAGGAAAGGAGATTAATGAGAGGCTTTATCAGGGGACCTAGTCAAGTAATGGAGAGTCCAGAGAGAACATAAGAGATCTTAAATTTGGGCTACAACACAACACTAGTGTGTTATTCAGGTCATGCTTATGTGCCAAGTGCTCTAGAAGAAGCTTTACAACTACTAACTAGCACTGGCAAAACCCCTCCTCATACAATTAGGACAGATTTAACCTATGGCAACTTGTTAGCTTTGTTGCCCTAGATATCTGATCATCTCATGAAAGTAAGATGTCAGCATTGCTACGGTAAGCATGATGCCCGATGTCTATATTACATGCCTGTAGAATCTTGGGAAAGCCATAGTGTGAAGAGACCCTCTTGCATGTGGGCATAGCCCAGTGAAGACCCCAGAAGTCGTACTCATGGAGTCATTATAAGAAACGCTGTCTCTTGTTGCACAGGGATATATGACAAGTGGATCTGGATCTGTGTTTATCTCTGCATAAGAGCCAGCAGCTCACAGGTTGCAGAAGCTTCCTACCAGGCAGCTGTGTTGCCTAGAGTGAGGACCACTCCCCCTGGAGACAGATAAAGCTTCAGGCAAAAGGTTTTCTGGCCCACATTTTTCAGTGTTGAGGTTAGGGGCAAATGTAGCCTATGGTCATGTTGCAGCTACCCATAGCTAGTTAAGAGGACACCCTGATAGGCATTAACAATAAGCACTGTAACCACTGCTCCATATCTTAAGAGAAAATAGAAATTAAACTTCCCCAAATCACACCAGTGTAAATTTCCCAATGATAGCTAGTGGGAGAACCAAGATGTGATCAGAGGCAACATGACTAAGTCTGGGCTTTAAGCACAACTCTAGCCTACTTGTACAGCACTGACATGGGTGCTCACTGACTGATGAGCTTGTGAGGCTTCCTGTATCCCTGATCCATGCCTTCTAGACCTTAAAAAGAAAGAGGCAATAACTCCTAAGTATGTATTATAGGATCAGAAATTGTGTACAGAATGAGGTTAACACAGAGCCTTGCTTCAGAAGAACTATCTGAAGCAGCCACCTTTCCGCGTGGCTCAGCATTCACTAAACAAGACAGGGAACCCCACTCCAGACTGTCTGAAGAAGCCACCTACTCCATGGCATCCAGCTCTTCATGTGACTCACCTTCTCATATTTTTCATCTATACCATTTCATCTTCAGTCTGATTGTCTAAATTCTGAACTATTTTGGTAGTTTAGACAGTTTGCCTTCAATTTTCCAGTAATAACTTTTTGGATCTACCGTCAACTCTGATTTTGAAACCCTGTGTGCATTTCCATGCCAGACCCATTATTCTGATCATTCTGTCCTCTGTAGGTACCATTTCTCACTTCCTCTGGTTCCAACCTCTGCTTCACCCTCAGAACACGGTATATCAGGAAGTACTTAAGTCATGGCTAAACGATGGATGCCATAGGTTACCTGGTCATGATCCTAGCTCTCTGCTTATTCTCTCACCCTAAAAAGGTCCAGGAAATATTAATCATAAAGAATTACTCAAAAATTCTCAGCGGAATACTTTTAAAGGAGAAAGAAATAACGACATGAGTTAACATGTGAGATAGTAAACATCCTACCTTCCAAGAAAGCACTTCGGGAACGTTGTCAGTTTTCTTTTTCTGTCTTTGATTAGATTTCCTTGCTTGCACATCATTTTATAAAGTTTCTCACCCTGTTCAGAGATCATTACCCAAGTGTCTTGCTCCATTCCTAATTTTAAACCTATCAAAAATGAGAGAAAGGGTAGATAACTAAAAAAGTCTCCTCATTGATTTGCTATCCTTTACACAAATATTAATTCCATGACTACCACATGCTGAAGCTTGTGGATACAGAGCTCTGGAAGATGGGGCTCATACTGAAGAATTTGGGTTGAGGATATAGCTCAGTGGCCCAGTGCCTGCCTGGCAAGCTCGTGGTCCTGAGTTGCACTATCATCTGAGAGAGAGAGGCAGGGAGCAAGAGTGAGAGAGAGAAACAGAGACAGAGACAGAGACAGAGACAGAGACAGAGAGTAAGTTCATAACATCCTAGAAACTCAGTCAAGGTGAGGTCCCAGAGTTTAAGATACCTTTGAGCAACTGTGCTCTAAAACTACATGATTTAGCCTTGGGAGTAAGAGCAGCAGATAAAGTTGGCATAATTGGACATGGCAGTCCCAGACATAATGCTGAATATAAGGAGTAAATTTTGATATAATAGAGGCATATTCAGGACACCACTTTTTCCTTAGAGTGTTAAGAAATCTTGCTCAGAAGAGCCATGTTTAAATCCAGAATCATAAATAGGTATTTCTATAGAAATGTATTCACAAGAGGTAACCAAAGTCAAGCAACACAGAAGTATGGAGCCCTGGAGGCCTTACAGTTTCAACTTAAATGCTGGAGAAACATCTAGACGCCATAAGAAGGAAAAGGCAGGGTAGTGCAGAAAAGAAACTAAGCTCAGAGGACAGTATGAGGAATGCAGAAAAGGGAAAGAACTTTAACTGGAAAAAGCATTATTGGAAAGAACCTGCAAAAGATCAAGCAACTTAAACCCCTGCAAATAAAGGACTCTGAGACAAAGAAGATACAAGTGAGAAAGAGCTAGGAGGTCGTACTGGTTGGACACAGCTATTGGTTAGACATAGATGTGAAAGCAAGTGAAGAAACCAAGATTCCTCCCAGGGTCTGATGACAGCAACTGAACGAAATCAGGGGTTCTTGTTGGGTGAAGGAGCTCATCATTCCTGAGAATTCTGAGTAGATTCTAGGGGTCAGTAGAGCATGAGTATGAAGCCCAGGAGAAAGGACAGGACTGCACATAAAAATCGAGGAGTCTGCAATGCAGAACTAGACATTAGAATGATGGAAATAGATAACCGAAGCAAGGAATCTATCTAGAAGCCTAAAGCTAAAATCTTGCGAATCCAAACAACCAACTGTTGCATAAGAACACTTTTAATTAGTTTTAGTTTTCTAAGCTACAAATTTTCCTGCTAAGATGTTATGTTTTACAACACAGGAACCATAACATTTATCAGCAGTAGTGAATGATCTGGCAAAAAATATACCTTGATAAGGCTAAATATCATACATGATTTATAGTATCTGCTCTTATCGTTGTCATTCTTTTGCATGGATCATGCTATTCTGTGAGACGAAAAGGTTCAAGTGAGATGAAAATTCCAACTCACTTTTTAAGTCATTTACTTTGTTATTTGCATTGACTGCTAGACTCAAAAAATCTTGAGTCACTTACACATTCATAACTTTGCTTTAAAAATTTCTATCTGGTTCTTTCTCCAAGATAAATCAAAGGAATAGGTAGTTAAAAATGCCTTGGAAATCCTTAAACAAATATATGCTGTGATTATTCTAATGACCGTAGACACTTTGTACATTCTTCCAGAGAAAGCATCTGAAGATGAAGCAAGGTTCTTTGCTTTCTGGAATTTCATTACCAATTAGGTGTTTTACTTTTGAATCTCAGCCAAAAGAATCAACAGTACCATGCTTCCTAATAATTAAAGCCTCTCTTTGGTAAACAAACACAAGCATTTCTACTTCAGAGCCAAAGTACAAAATATGTCTTCTTGCAGATAAACTTCACGTGACTTAAAGTTGCCAGACCCAACACCTTTTGAAAATCTTTTTAAAAGCATGTAGCAAATATTATTTTGGACCCCTCCTATGGAATATAAATAGGAAATTTATTAATTTCTTGAATTAGGAAACTAATATATTTGGTCCACAATTTTTCAGAATAATTGTTGGAGATCCTACAGTACTGTCATATATTATTGAAGTTTGTCTCTTAAGGCAAGACTTTGCGATACTGCTTTAGATAATGCTGTAGAGATGACAAGAATAACATGCAAAGAAAATTGTACAAATGTTAAAGCAAGTGAAATGAAAAAACTCTGCCAGCCATACATGTTACTAACTATATAAAATGTTCAAAGCCCCTTTACTATGATGCTTACATCTCATAGGAAATCAAAGTGAACACCACGCACCAACCCAGCCTCTTAGAACTCTTTCCACTATCTTATCTTGTGCTGAGTTAGAAATCTCACAAAGAAAAGCAGTGCACAATTCAAGCACCCACCTTTTCGTCGTTCTCTTTCTTTCAAAATTGCTTCAAACCATTCATGCTTCTCTTCAGGTGTTTTTGCCATGCACACAAACCATTTGTTTTTCGCTGTGTTGTGTATCTTCCACCCATTAACAACAATATGTCCACTACTATGGAAATCCGCTGAGGAAAGGCCAGTGAACAAAATGCAATATAATGTCAACATGACCTCTACATCCGTGAAAGTCTGCAAATCACTGAATTACTCAAAATATCTCTGTTTTTGTATCAGAAACGTGAAAGTTGAAAAAGCAAATAAAGTTTTTACTATGAAAAAGTAATTACTATGAAGAAATTAATATTTATTTATTCTATGTCTGAAAATATTGTTCAACTTACCATAGCAAAAAGGAATAACATTGTAAGAATTTTCTTTTCAATTACATATTCATGGCATCAAATTTACTTTGTTATTCTAATATTTCCTGTAAATAACATTCTAGTTTCAGAGAGAGCCTTTACTGCACAGAACATTTCTCTAATATTTAATTATAAGCACAATAAAAATAAAAACTAGTCACTACTTATATTTCCCTAAGCTACAATGAATGGAAACACACAGGTGCCACACTATTACAAGGCCCATTGTTAAAACACACACTTCAAAACAACATCACTCCAAAAGTTCATTGATAGGTTTTGATTCTATATATCAACTAACGTTCAAGAAACCTGTCAGACTTTGAGGTAGTATCAGGGAAAAAATTCTATAATTACACGTAAGAGCATTAAAATACTCTTTCCTTTTCATACTACATACTCTGTGTGGTCAGATTTTTCTGTAAATATTTCAGCCTAAACAATATACAATGACAGATTCAGCAAAAGGGAACTTGAGTATGCAGTTGCCTTCTATTAGTTTCCATACAGAAAAGACTTGTCAACATGTAAGACATTGTTTGTTTTGTTGCTATATTTTTTGCTCTAGGAAAAAGTTAATTTTCATTAAAATATATTTATGTTATCAAAAATCACATCAGTTCATGTGATTCACAGGAACAAAAATCTCAGAAAAACATTTCCTGAAGACAAAGTTGACATCTAATTTTTTACTCAATTCCTCACCATTTAGCCATTTTGGCTAAACTTTTCATGTTGGACTTGCAAATACATTCAGCAAATACTTCACAACTGTCTGCCTAACAGCAGGGAGAAAATAATGACATAACTTGTAAGCCACATTCACTGGCAGGACAGTTCATGCCAGACAAAGATTCCAAGATAGAAACAACAGATGACAGAGGTCAAAATCAGCACCCAGTTACAGTGATAGTTTTCATTTGTCTCCCTGAAAGCCATTAAACAGCACTAGCCACTATACCAGGGTAAGACACAACAGTATTCAAGACGGGTAAGAGCCTTTCTGAAACTTCACCTAATGTGGTGTTTTCTCTCTAAAACAATTTATTTTATTAATGGCTGAGTACACGTTTGCCCATAATCTGACTCCTAAGGTCTTTCTATTCATGCCAGAATAACAAACGTTATCTGCTGTTAGATTATTAATCTTCATGACACAACATCAACTAGTGTTGTAGCACTCCTCTGGGGTCTGTAAACCTCCCAGGTTACATTGGAGTCTGAATTCTGTTCAGTATTAGTCTAATGTGTCCCCACCACTGTGCTCTTTCCCACATCCCTGACTGTCCTGTGGCTTCTGATGTACTCTGCAGGCTGAAGCTCTGGCCCAGATACCCGCTGTCCCTCCAGCGGTGCAGACCTTCCCTGTGAAGCCTTTCCTAAGCATTCGTGCTAGGCACTCAAACTTCTTTGGGCAGCCGCATCAACTCAGAACCAGACAAGCGGGCATAACTGCTGGCATGTGACCACTACCTGAATGTCCAGAAACAGAGATCATCAGCTGAATCTATCTCAGACGACAGCTTAATGCTGCAATTGTGAATATTTGGAAGAACTACTTGTGTCATATAATAATTGGAAGTGAAGACATAAAGCTCCTTTTACAAAGTTTTTCTGGTGGCTGGTTTCTATCATATTAATTTTTAAAATCATGCTTCATATGTAGTATGTATATTTAATAGTATAATTGTCAAACATTTTACAAAATAAGCAATTGCTTCTCATTTACTTTGAAGAATGTACCATATAGATTAATAATTTAATCATAGCATATAGTCTAATATATTTAAAATAAGAATTAAACTTATGCATAAGAAACAGTCTCACCAGGAACATGGAAAATCCAATAATTGTTTATCCTTAACAGGGGTGTGTGTGTGTGTGTGTGTGTGTGTGTGTACTGGTTTGATGTTTGACTGGTTTTGTTGTTTTGGATGCTGGGGACTAAACTCAGAGCTTAATACATAATAAATGCACATTCTATCATTAAGCTACAACCCAGCCTCTCTTACCTTAACAGGGATTAAAATACAGTTCAATAAAAAATAATTTAGTAAATGACAAACAGAAATTTGCAGGCTTTCATGAATCTAAAATATAAATTTTATAGAAACTGTCAAAAAATGGAATTTAAATTGTTATTTATTAAATGGAGACTATGGGGCTGGGGAGATAGCTCAGTAGAATAAGCACTTGCCAGGCAAGCGCAGGCCTGAGTTGAATCCCCGGTTCTGCCAAAAAAATAAAAAATAAATGGAGACTATTCAAGCACAGTAGTCTGTAGTATCTGATTTCTCCCCAAACCAGGAAACTCCAAGGGAGAGTTTGAATAAGTCATTAATTATATTAAGTCTCTATGGTGTGCAAATTGCTTACTTTTAATTCAATGTTTTCATTTAATGAGATGGGATTTTCCCAAGACTGATGCATTGTGTATTTCAGTGTATATATTGATATCTACTTAATAATTTTTGCATTACAATAAAATGTACAATAATCAAGTATTATATGCACAGGATAGGAAATAGAAAAAACTATCAAAATGTTTA